TCTCTCTCTCTCTCTCTCTCTCTCACACACACACACACACACACACACACACACACACATTTTTCATGTCATGTTTTCTTTTTTATCTCATGCTGCAAAGTGTTCAATTATCATATCTTACGCATCACACAGGGTCCCTTGGAGTAGATCTGGGACCACCCTGGGCAACATGGAGATTCAGGGGTCTGAGAACGACACACATGGGGTCCACTGAAAAAAAAGGGCAAGTTATGAGCTCAAACCTCCAATTTGCTTCAGTCTGCTTTTTTCCCTTAACCTGCTCAACCCCTGCAATATGAATGCCATTTTAAAGTACTCAGTATTCCTTGATGCCTATTCAATATCTGTATAAAAAGAATGGAATAATGCAATTATTCTATCTTAAAATGTTCTGGTATAATAACTGTTGGAGTTAAGAATCTTACATAACTGTATAACAGTGTTTCTCATAGCTCTATTGTTGCTGCCTGGACCAAATCATAAATAGTGAACAGCCCTAGATCACAAATCTCAGCCAATGATTAACACAAAAACAACAGATATCACATGAAAATTGCAATTATTATTATTATTATTATTATTTTGCCTTCTGAAGTGCAATTTTTTTCTGAAAATTTCATCCAAATTTGTAAAGAGCATTTTGGGATATCATATTCACTACCAGACAGACAAGCAAACCATTGGACCCAACACCAGTAAAATCATATAATCTCCTTTGTTAGGGAAGATAACAACAGTGAAATAACTTAAAATCATTTACAGTACTATCAAAGCCATTCAACAGGTAAATTTTGTTGCAAACGTAACTGAATTTTGACATCAATGAAGTTAGGTGATTCACATTAACAATGAGCCTTGTGCTAGACAGGTTGAAAAAATTGGAAAATCAACCGCTTGTGTCAAAAGGTTAATTAAATTTTGAGATGGCACATGGTTCTAATACTCCATTCACTCATGAGTGAGTGCAATTGTTATTGAATTTGAGAAAAAGTCTGGGGCCTCATGGCACATTCATAACAACCATAGCAGAAAAAATTAAGATATAATTTTCCAAAAATGTAATTGATGTGAAAAAAAAGAATTAACTTGTCAAATATCCATTAGTATTTTTAGCAACATAAATATAGTAGAGGGGAATTTTTAAAACTGGAAGAAATGCTTAAAAAGCAAGATGTGAAAATAAATTATTATCAAACACCCAAGAAGCAAATAAGTATGATAAGAACAAAAAAAAAAAAGAAAAAAAATCTATAAATTTACAAGAAAATTTCATTGCAGTATAACTTGTCCTGGGCTATTAGCAAGCAGACCGTGTCTCTGTAATGGACCCTAGGCAAGTGATTTATCCATTTATCACCTGTCAAAGAGGAAGAAGTCCAAGACGTCCTCTGAACTGAGCTGTCAGCAGTAATAACATGACTTCTGTATTCACTACACTGCCACTTTCTACAGTACCTTATCATTTAAACTGAAGAAACTGCAATTTAATTAGCAATGCAGACTTTAAAACACAAAACTTATGGACATTACTGGCTCTATAATGTTTGAACAATGGAACGTTATAACAATTTTGTAAGCAATTATAGGGAAAATGTGTTTAAAATGGTTACAAAATACACCCACGAAGCTCACATCCTCACCTAGCAGTGAAGGACAGGTCTTGCAGAAAAAAGTGTACTTTGAACAATACACTGCATTAACAGAAATCGCAAATATTTTCTTTTCAGAGTGAATTTTACTCTTTACAAGCTTTCAGCACACTTTCAAAACAACAACTCTGAACTATATATTTCAAGGACTATTACACTAAATTACTAAATGACAACTGGATGGTGATTGACAGGTATTTGCAATCTATAGTTAAATAATGAAATGTTTGGGTAAATAACAGAAATAGGCCTACTTTATGTGAACAACGCATACGGAGATAACTGAACTCTAACATTAAAAAAAAAACCATCAGTTGGTTCAGCAGCTGCCTTTTTCAATAATTTCAGCAGTGCGAAGTCTGAAAACTGACAGCAATCCGCCACAAAATGTCACAGAAAATGACAGAATCAGTTGATGAAATCTAGGACTGAACGATGGACCCTAGATTAAACGAAGCCACATGTACGCCTTGAACACGTAAACACAAACCTTAAAATCTAACATTTTGGTTACTTCCACGAAGTGTAGAACGTGATTTATCAGCACCTAATAACACAAAGCAGAGCTCGAGTGCTACTTACCTTGGAAACTGCGCGTCTGCCAAAGCAAACGAGAAAACACAAGCAACTGTTAGAGAAACAAAAACAACAGAAACAGAAGACAAACACATCTTCTGAATGTACGGCATCCGAGCGGCTTCTTCCTCAAAATATTGCGAACGACTTTCCGACCTTCTAAAGCTACGTGTCTACGAGTGGATGAATCCCACTCAGTGGTGTTTGCGGTTTAGCAGCAGGTGTCGGCCAGATTTCACAAACAAACGTTTCCTGAATCAGGTCTTTGTTGCGAGAACGCACCATGTGCGCCCAGCGGGGAAATTTGATCTTCGCGGAATGTGGTGATCCATTGCGACGGCGGCGCTGTCTGGCACCGCTAACACAATTGACCGCTGAGGCGATCACAATTTTTTTTAAATGTGCGTTTTCTTTGGATTTGTTTATCTCTCACTCGGTTTTCATTCATTAATTAAAATACATTGCTTGTCCATTTTGAGGTCCGCATACTGAATATATTGTCTTCTAATTCTTTTCTTTTTTTGTATTGTTAATAATACTATAGTTTTGTAAAAAAAAACAAAAAAAACGTACTGTTGAAAGCTGCCAAACGTGATATTTGACAAAGTGAAGTATAATTATTATAATAATTATTATTATTATTAAATTTTTCAAGCAAGTCAATGAGTATTATAACAAAATCATAAGAAGAGCATTTTTACATCATTTAAAAATATTGAAACCGTCTTCTTTTTAGAGATATATCACTGAATATCATCCTCTGATCCTCTTTATTTATGACTATGAATGACTGTAGTTGTGCACTTTGACAAAAAGTCTTATTTCCCTTAGTATAAAACATTTATTACAGTTAAAAAAAACAATACACTATGTCCATATTTAACAATTCTAATCATCCCAGTGAACACTAAATCACAGACAACTTACACAGACAGGGACTCGAATAAATCAACATGCATTATCAAAAATAATATATCTAGTAATGAAATAAAGCCTTACAAAGTCAGATCCTGAAATTGGGTGCGAGAGGCACATTACTTTCATAGCTTTCCTGAAATTATATGAATATGAAAAGCAAAGCAAGGCATAGACCTTTTTGTCACCCTGTCAGCTCTGCTGTGCTCTTTAGTTAAAATCTGGAGATATACAGTTTGTCACAAATATTCAGACTCAGTCAACAACATGATGGATAATATAATAATAAAATAACAGTTAAGAATGTAAAACAAAGCATAAGATAATAATAAATAATAACTAAATGACCAGCTGAAATGGAAAGCACAGCTAGCATTTTAGGATGAAAAATATATAAAATAAGGCAAAGTCTTTAGAATTAGCCATCCAGACAAAATACTAATAGCCTTGTTCGTGTTAAGTGATACCCTTAGTTGGTAAAACATTCTTGATAATATCCTGTGGGCAAAGACATGAATCTACTTGTATTTGTTAGAAAATCTGTATTAATATTGCCAGACATCCCTAGAACATAAGTAACCCTGTCCACCCTTATCAATGGAAATCTTACATTCACATCACAAATACAGGGTGGTTTGGAATGCTTTTCAGTTGTTAACATATAACTATGGCATAATGACTATTTCTATGGCACATATTACTTCTTGCACCAAGTGATGTCAGTGTACAAAGATGGACGGCAAAATATTTTCAAAACTGCTTTGTTTGCTTGAACACTTAATTCTTTTAAAAAATTATAACAAAACATGGTTTTCACCAGCCTACTCTTTTCCTCTTGACACTGTCTTAGTTTATTTTATACCATAAACCATCTGTCTAACATCAAATAAACTTGCAAATTGCACATTTCGCAGTATCACAGATTCTACAAAAACACTTCAGCTGAAAAACGTCTAAACTCTTAGGATAAAGTTTTTGTTTTCTTTGACCCACAAAAACAGATTTAGTCCAATTTAATGAATTATTATGTTCATTACGAGCTATTTCAACTTGTTTCATTCAAAGAAAGGCATTGGCAATATTCAAATCCAAAACATACCTATATTCATTTGGAACTTTTAAGGGTATAAAGTCAGTTAAGAAAACCTCTAACTCCTTATATCTCTACATCTATGTATTACATAAAAATAATGATATGAATTGAACAGCTGCATAAATAAGATTTCTACAGACATGCAGCATGCTGGAAGAACCTGCATGGTTTAGAAGAGAGACAAATTCCTGGTACCCATTTTCAAATTATCTCAGTTAAAGCATTTTCTGATTGGCAGGCTGTACAACTATTTCACCCTGGGGGAGGGGGGAGGGGTCTCCAGCACAGACAGTTACCCCACAAGGCTCACACGACACCCCCCGGGGAACTGATCTGGGTGTGTTAAATATTCATCACTCCTGGTCACAGCATTATCCTCTCAGTTTTCTTGTCTTCCACTGCTACCTTGAAGGCTTAAGGGCACTGGAAAGGTAGAATTTGAAATATGTTTTTACCCAACAATAACATAGTTTACTATAAAATGGAAAGAAACATACAAAACAAAATAAATTATATATATATATATATATATATTTGAGCTTCATTAAATCAATAAAGCAGAGACCTTAATCCAGACAATGTTACCCCTTTCAAGTACTTTCCTTCCACCCTGAAACAAAGTCAACACCTTTACAGTATAAATAAAGTTACCTGGTCATGTCCAAGCCTCTCTCATACTCATCCAGGTCAGCCATGTCTTCATCCAAAGCCTGGGACAGCTGTGTTAGCAGGACATCCAATGCCTGGAATACATGTAGTGTGTTAGATGTGACAGTTTTACATTGTGTTAGATGTGACAGCTTTACATTGTGTTAGATGTGACATTTTAACATTGTGGTAGATGAGAAAGCTTTACATTGTGTTAGATGTGACAACTTTACCTTGCTGTAGATACATATAATTATTCTCAAACGTCTCTCTTTTTTCTTCAGGACCATGTGCATGCATATTACTTGTCTGTTTTAGGAAGTAGACATGCATAAACCACAGCAGAAACCACTCACCACATCTGTCACTATCTTCTCGTGGAGTTTCCTGAGGGGCAAGTTATCCAGTGTTCTCTGTCTCTCTCCACTGACTCCAAAGAACTGCTCCAGTAGAACATTCAACATCAAACCTAAATATTATAGCAATACACAGATATATAGACATATAGATATTTTACTATGATATCAGACTTTCAGTATACAAATAAAATTAAATCAAATATAATTAAATATTTATAACAAATTAAAAGAAAAAAATGGAAAATAATAAATAAACAAACAAACAAACAAACAAACAAATAAATAAATATCAAACCAAATAAACGAACAAAATATAAATTGAAGATCAGTACATCAAAGAGATCAAAGAGCATGGGTCAAGAGAATGGTAAATGTGTATAAAGTAAGATAACATACTGTCCAGTAGTTTATCTGCGTGGTCATCTTCTGTCCACAACTGCCCCTGTCTGGCCACCAAAGACAACAGGTACTCTGAACACATGGAGTCAATGAACTTCTGGCTGGCATATTTGGCTACCTACAAATACAGGACATACATTTTAGACTACTGAGTAGTATAGTACTCTAAACACATGGAGTCAATGAACTTCTGGCTGGCATATTTGGCTACCTACAAATACAGGACATACATTTTAGACTACTGAGTAGTATAGTACTCTAAACACATGGAGTCAATGAACTTCTGGCTGGCATATTTGGCTACCTACAAATACAGGACATACATTTTAGACTACTGAGTAGTATAGTACTCTGAACACATGGAGTCAATGAACTTCTGGCTGGCATATTTGGCTACCTACAAATACAGACCATACATTTTAGACTACTTAGTAGTATAGTACTCTGAACACATGGAGTCAATGAACTTCTGCCTGGCATATTTGGCTACCTACAAATACAGACCATACATTTTAGACTACTTAGTAGTATAGTACTCTGAACACATGGAGTCAATGAACTTCTGGCTGGCAAATTTGGCTACCTACAAATACAGGACATACATTTTAGACTATTGAGTAGTGTAATAAAGACCACAATGCAGTAGTTTTCTGCACAGCACTGGTTCCACTGGTTCCCACATGCAATTATGTAACAGGAGCTTTATTCCCTTATATGGCTATGAAGAGTACAGATCTCCATTTCTCCACGAGTGTAGCTCTTATGTAATAGCATATTTTAAATCAAAGTATGTGTGTCTGCACATAAACAGTCCAATCACTGACCTCTCTGAGTTCTCTTTTCTGTATCCTGGTGTCATAGTGCGTCAGGACCTCTACTGCCACCTCATTGGCTAGCTCGTCAACATCTTCCTCGATAAACTCCTCGAGGACATCTTCAAACTGCACCTCTGAAATCACCTCTTCAACCTTAAGATATAAAAAGAAATAAATTTTTTTAAAGTTCAACTTTACATTTTTTACACTATTAAACTGTGATAACCTCCCTGTACACAAGAGCTAGCAAAAAAGCATATTTATCCATTCAACATTTTAAAAATATTCTCATTACAAAATTGTCGCAATGGAAATAAAAGATTTATGACCAAATGAGACTGAAAACACACCAGATGGCGCTGCAGATTCAAGAGGACACCCTTTCAGCACATCACCTTCACTTACCAACTCATGGCCTATCTCAGCGATGTAATCCTCCACCAAATCCGTCATTACGTCAGTTCCGGCGCTCTTAGCCAGGTATCCACTGACCATTTCCTGCGTAGCCAGTTTGACAACCTGAAGGACGCCCTCGTGGACCACCTCACTGAGCAGGGCACTGGCGATGTCCTCGCCGAGAACCTTCTGGGACATTCTCTCCATTAGGTAGCTGGGGATTAATACAGAATGTCTTTATGTCAGCAATGTTATTGATTAAATAGGGGTAAGGGTGAGGTGGTGTATTTAAGTACATTTTATAAGGGATGAAATATTCACATCAAAGACAATAGGTTACGGGTAAAAATTATATATATATTAACTTTAACTCTTTATAAGGATAATTAGACCAACAACCACAAAATAAGACATAGTGATTGCAAATATTATTGAGTATCACAATGTCTGGAGAAAACACAACCATCTTGATAGGACTACCTGTCAGTTAGTTTCATCAGCGTGTCTCTGTCCAAGTCACGCAGCTGAGCAGCTGTCATGGAGTAGAGATCTACAGCGCCACCTGGCAGCAAGCGAGATTTCACTGACACCTGAATATGTGATGAGACAACCGTGAAAACATCTTATCGTGTGACATAGCCAGTAACATGTGTTTCACTTCAAAATTACCTCTAAACATCATGCAAGGTTGGAGAAGACACATATTCTCTATAGCAAATCACAGAAAAATCTTCCCAATCTTGTCAATCTGCTGAATTTGCTTATACTTGTAATCTAGATGAGAACCTGGGCAAAGGAACTGAAGAAGTAGTCTAACAAAGATATAACACCCTAGTCAAATATAAAACACTCTCCAACAAAGCAAAGCCTACCGTCTCTTTCTGCTCTGACACCACTTCTATCAGAAGATCTGGGACAATCTCATCCTCCAGAGCCTCCTGTATGAAATCCTCTACAAATACTTGAGCAAAGGAGTTATGAGCATTGAAATACTGGGCTACCTGGGTATGCTGAAATAATAATTATAATGATAATGATAATAATAATAATAAGAAGAAGAAGAAGAACTTTGTAAAAAATGTGAAAAAATAAGTTAAAAAGAATGAAATTACAGATTTTTACATAAAAATTGGAAAGGAATGTCATCAATGAAATATTAAGTTACTTGTGCATTGTGAAATTCATTTAGTGTTATTGTTTACTATAAATGTCTTCACACAGAGAGTTGCTGATACTATATCATTATTCTATGTACCTTATTTAGTCTTGTCAGGCTCAACTCTGCAAATGTCTGTTGTGAAAAAGCAGGTCCTGAATCTGGGATTGGACTTTTATATTTCCCCCTGTCATACTTAAAGATGAAAAAAATATACTTTTCAAAACACAGAAAAACAATAATTGTAGCAGCTGTTGTGGTATGTGACAATAAGACAAAACATCGGCATTATTTTCCTATTGTTTTTTTGTAAAAACTGAAGATCCTGAAACGTAGTTTGCAATTTCTCATCGCAAAATGAAGACTGCAGTCTGTTCCTGAAATCAGGCATAATCATGACTTTAAAGGATTCACATTTTTCATCAAATACTGAAAAACCATCACAAAGATGTAGCTGAAAATTAAATGCTCAATATCTTACTCAACAGAAGAAACATGCAGTTGCATGCTCTAACATGAGCCAAACTATGCACTCAACATCACAGATGTCAATGTTTTTGAAAAACTCACCTTATACCTTTGTATCACAGAATTTGAATCATCAAAAACATCACTCCTCTGTTTTGTAGTGGAAATATACTTAAACCTTGGCACAGTCTCATCTTGATTCTCATCGCCATCTTCATCTAAATGTGACTGCCTGTCTTTTCCTTTATAGTTTATAACTCCATTCATTCTACTTTGTGTAGGTTTTGTGTGGAATTTGTAAGTTTCTTCAAACTTGTCCTTCCAAAATGGACGGTTTTCTATGTGCGAGTATTGGGTGGCCCTGTCCTCTATTGTATAGGTGGCCTGGTCTTTTTGGTTGGCTTTGGCATTGGAATGTTTTGATCTTCAGGGAAAAGGAAATGAAAAAAAGTCAACAAATTGTATTTGGGTTGTCCTTTCTTTTAATCCACTTATTTTAAAATGGTCATCATCGATTGTAAGTTACAGTAGATAAATAAGTAATATTCTTATGAGATTGTTAGATTCTACACTAGTCTAGTTTACACCACAAACAATACCTGTCTATTGCTGCAGATAACTTGTGAAACCAGAAAAACCTTCACTCAAGTAAAATTTACAAATCTTCCTAGCACAAAATTCACAGGACAAACGACATAAATATTCAAGGAATTAAAAAGAGATTATATGAAAACCCAAGTGCTAAATTAGTTATGAGTATACAGAAGGCAGCAAAGGATGGATTTCATTAAGACAAAATCACTGAATGCTCCATCATGTGCTGCCCTCTACAGTTCAAATTAGTGACTATACTTGTGCTTTTTTCTGTGCTTTGGTCTTGCAGCAGCTGCCTGGAGGTAGTATGGGACTGGAGGAGGTGGTGGGTACACCATAGAGGGTATAGGGTAGACTGCAGGGTATGGGTATGGGTATAGCTGGGGATAGGGGTACTGGTAGGGTACAGGGTACACCTGGGGGCGGGGCTCATAGCCATGGGTGCGGGGCTTGTAGCCGTGGGAACGGGACTCATAGCCATCACTGTCATCACCCCAGCTATCCGTAGAAGGAGACCTGTAAGCAGTGTTAGAAATTAAGGCTGGACCGTCTGCCCGGGGCTGACAACTTTCAGAACGGGCTGAGAAGTTATCCCACCCAGCAGGCATTTAGTCCAGCTACTTTTCAAGATGGCTGGACTTTCGGTCCAGCAACTAATTTTCCTAAGAGGCAAACACTGCCTGTAAGAGTAGTGTGCACGTGGCAATGATACATGGGCACGCACGCATGCACCTGGACATGTACGCACATGAACATACAGTGTATATACTAGCTTTGTTGTGCTTCACATTGAGTTTTTTTTTTTTGTATTAGTATATCAATAATGCTAGCAGCTACATGACAGTAATGGTACAAACTAAGGCACTATGTTTAAAGAAAAGATTGTTTTCCTACTGGGTGTATTACAGTGTTAGCAGCAAACTGTTAAAATAATGCAAACAGAAATTTAAAAAAAATTAAAAGCAAAAATTAAAAATAAAAACTAATGATTTTTATTAAATATAATGCTGGTTATAAAGTCAATAATGTACAAAAACAAAAGAGTAAAGAATTAATAATAAAGTTATACATGTAATAATCAAAATGATTAAAAAACTACAATACAATACAATACAATACAATACCTGAATATCAAGCATCATGCTGCATATGGTAACATTGCAATATACAGTTATAATAACCACAGAAACAATTGCACATCATATCACCACATATCTATACTAAGGTCTATTTACTTTCCTAACATAATCATGCTTTGGATGTGGAAAATTTACAATTAAATTAAAAATCAAAATTACAATTCTTATTGATGTCCATTAATCCATTATCCACAAATAAAAAATTTGTAAAAATCAGAAAATGATCCAAATGTTTAATAACCATAACAGTCTAGAGTGAGTTCACTGCCTCGCTAAGCGTAAGTAAAATGATCTCCTACAAAAAGACATACCTCTCATATGCCTCTTGGCGGGGTCCAACAGGTGGCACCACACCATACCTGCTGCCTCTTAACACTGGACTCTGTCTGTACTGGTCATGGTCAGGAGGGGTGTCCAGTCTGGAAAGGTTAGTTGACCACTATGGTTTAGATTTAGATTAAGTTCTACTATATACGTATGTAGAAAAATTTACATTGATAAGAGCATGATGCTGTGATGGTTTGTAATAAGCACTAATCAATTTCTTATTTTACATAGTCACATTTTATCATCAAGTTTATGTGTTTTTCATTTAGTGATTAGTATACAGTCTTGGTTCGAGACACGTGTGGAAGACAGCACATGATTGGTTCAGAGTCGAGGCAAATGATTGGTCAACCTTGGTAGAAGAGCAGGTGGTGTCCGGGTCTGCCTGGGATCATATGCCTTCCTCTTTGACGTCCCTGCAGAGTGGCGTCTGGGCTGGTGTTCCTGTGCCTCTGCCAACTGCTCGCGGATCCTTCTCAAACTAACAACAAATAAACAACAAATAAACAACAACTATAAACCATGAAGTGGATGACAGCACTCTATATGTATTTCTTTCATTAATATTTCATATGCACACCATAAACACTTTAGATAAACACACGAACTCTGCAGTTTGAAGGTTGTTTAAAAAAAAAATTCCTAAAATCATACTTTCAGATTTACCCAGATTTATGGTTTTTGAAAGTTTTAAGATAATTAGTAGTTCCAAAAATAATGACAACGATCACGTTGGCAGTTGCATTGCATTAAAGACGAGTATTCATAAATAAAATGACACCCAGAATGTGTTTGCAGGAAAAAGTATTTCATATTTCACTAGATTCTGCGACTTGGTCAGTACTTCATCTTTACACAAATTAACACATATATTTTCACGTTACCTGTCACTTTGCTCATTCCACGTTTGTTCCTGTCTCGTTTGAGACATTATTTGTTCCAAATGCATTCACCAGAAAGAAGATTGTAGATTACATTTTGCTAGAAACCACTTTTGTTTACATCTTTCTCCTCCATCTTGAATTGCGTTACCAAAGCGAGGCGATATGGGCTAGGCTGCAAACGAGAGCATGTACCTCGAGGGACACAAATGGTTATTTTCAGGCATTAAAACTGAAATTTAGAGTATAATAAAATTAAAAATACGCCACAAATACTACTTATGATCAATGTTAGAGACAAAATTATCGAGAATTATACAATTTGTGTGTTTTGAGCTTAGCACCCAGGCACAGATAGCACGGACGCTTTGTGGAATACAGCACCATCGTTTGTTTCCTGTTGCACAAGAGCATGAAATTGATTTCTCAGTCATAAATTTTAGACCTTATTTAAATAAACCAAATATTTAATTGTCCATTATCACGATTTAACACGGACATGTCAAAATGTCAGAGGAGGTTTTTATACCTAAAGAAGAAGAGAATGTCTACCAGAAAGGTGAAGACGAAAATTTTTTGACAAATATGAAACTGAAAGTCGCCTCGGACGATTTCAAGCCTCGTTCCCTCACACGATCGGAGATACTTGATTTTGGAAGCGAAGGATTCTTGTTGCACGGTATACTCTCGCAGCAAGAATGTCAAGAATATATTCAAGAGTTTGAAAATGAGGGCTTTGGTGCCATACCTGAACTTGTGAAGAATAATTACCGAAGTTGTGAAAGGTACGAGTTTGCACTAAGCTAGTACTATATACATGTAGTACAATGTAGCTGCATGCATCTATCTACTAGTATATACATCGCATGAATAGTTTACAAATTATTAAAAGAATGGCCTGGGGAAATGGACGGGTTACATTAAGGGATGCTGTAAATATATTGGTACTTTTGTAGTATACCCCCCCACCCCACCCTATAACTTCCTGAAACTTTCATTTTTCAAACATTTTTTTACTTTGTCTTTTTCACCTATGTCAAAGCTGTTGAAATAAAATGTTTTTGTAATTACCTGTGGTCTTTTTATTAGTTTTAATCACGTTTAATCCACCCCATTGAAATACAATGTGAAAATTTACAATGTACCTGCAGTCAATAACTTGCCGCGTTTTCCTTGGCTAACTGTACCTTATTTTATATGTGAACATAGGATTGATACATTGTATACTTGGACTTCCTCTGTGAAATTATTATGAGCTACTTGTTCACATAAAATTACCTTAGAGTTAGCCAACGAAAACGCGGCAAGTTATTGACTGCGGGTGTAAATTGAAGATTCTAACATTGTATTTCAATGAATGGGCTGGATTAAACGTGATTAACACTAATAAAAAGTCCACAGGTAATTACAAAAGCATTTTATTTCAACAGCTTTGACATAGATGAACAAGAAAATGTAAAAAACTGTTAGAAAAGTGAAAGTTACAGAAAGTTACAGGGTGGGGGGTATACTACAAAAGATATATCAATAAGTCAGTCTATCACAAGAATGCTTCAGCAGTATATACCGGTAGGCTTCAAGTATACAGCATGTGAAAGGTTTTTTAAATGTCCACTTGAAACACAAAGATTCTGGAAGCTGTTCATGAAAAAAGTTAACAAACTTTAAATATAACTTATACAAGATATTGAACATGTAGCTACAGTATATTACAGATATCAGTGGACTCTTTTTTATCTTTAATAATTGTATATACATTGTAAGTGCAGACTCAAGTTTCGTATACGAATCTTTGGTAATTAATAACTGAGATGTTTGTACTGGTAATGTTAACACAGGGTACCTTGTATATTGCAGACTATTGGTACAGTCCTCTGCCCTGGCCTCTCATCTCTGGGACACCATCAAGACACACGTGGAGGAGATCGAGATTCACGGAGACCCACATCAGCAGCACATTCATGGAATAAAGCAGGCATTGCAGGGGCACTGGAAACCTTATGGTCTTAATGAGGTATGAGGACAATATGTCATGGTATAACATGTATTTACTGACAAGTATTGTTTAAGTTTTATTCATGTATTTTTGTTTATCCCTCAATAAAATACCTGTAATTTCCTAGGGCAGTCCAGTTTATTATAAAATGTCCTCTAAATATTGTATACCTCTGCACATATTATTTTTACATTTCTTAAAATTTTGTCCACCATCTGCCACCTATAGAGTTATATATGCTACTTTCAGTAGGTATTTCCTCCAGTTTGTACAATTTGTGTATAATAACTTATTCTTAAAATGAAAAATCACTTTCTTATGTCTCTGAAAAATTAATTAGCACTTGATGTACATTGAAGTGAAGGTCTATAGATTATAGATATTAACCTGTCACAATAGCTGTGAAACTACTGGTAATGTACTGGAACAATTTTGTACAATTTCAGCTCTTCAGAATCTGCAAGTATCAGCCAGGGGGTCATTTTGCTCCTCATTTTGATGGTCATTTTGTGTCCAGTTCTGAGAAGAGGTCAATGAAGACATTCATGATTTACTTAAATGATGACTTTACAGGAGGAACAACTAACTTTGTGGACGAATCACAACAACTGCACATGGTAAGATCGCTTTGAGGAATTTTGGTTGTAGGATCCATGGGCACACACATGGGAATAACAAATATGTTGATCCTGCAAAATAAAATATACCTGAAAAACACTTTTCATATCTAACTGCTGCCCATTTCCCTCCTCCCCCAACTCTTACCCCCTCCCCAGGGTCTTCCTCTCTTGAATGTACATGTAATTCAGTGTTTATCACAGTAATACAGATTTACTCACCAGAATTAATTAATTTATTTATTTATTTATTTATTTATTTATTTATTTATTTATTTATTTATTTATTTATCAACATCTTAATTACAACTTTTTTCCATTACAAGCTAGGTCGATATATATTACAATCTTAAACTTATGCCAGCGTTTATGTTTTCTCCCAGGATTCCAGCGGCAAATATTGCGCCGAGGAGAAAAACGTGATCCATCGCGTCCAGCCAGAAACGGGCATGGCCATCATCTTCAACCATCACCGCTTGCATGAGGGGGAGAGAATTAAGTAAGTAACTCATGTAACAAATGCTTTTTTTTTGTCTTCTGCCACGTTGTTTATCTGATGTCTAGTAGATTGGTTTATCTGGGCATTTGATATTTCTCAGATGATGTACAATAGTTTAGTTTCATATAAAATATACGGCCAGAAAAGTGGACATTCAAAATGAAAATTATGTTTTTAGTAAAACATAATGAAGGCTATAAGTTTTCCAACTTACGGAGATAAATATTGCGAAAAATCAACAATAAAAGAAAACAATATGACACTAGGGTCTAAGAATTCAAACCTGGTCCAATGCAAACATACTGACCAGGAACTGGACAGACGTGTTGGTAAATTAAAGTTGACTGGCCCAGCCTCAGTTTTAGTCACTTTTGGCTTGGCGTTAGTATATTTATCAGCCATAGACTGGAGTGATGGCCGATTCAGAATACTTTCTAATGGAGGGAATTGTTCAAGTTTTTGACACATTCCTGTTGTTTCTATCTGTAGGTCAGGAGTGAAGTACATCATGAGGACAGATATCATGTATCACAGGGTCGAGAAGATGGCAGCTAGCAAGCAGGACGAGATGGCCATTCAGCTTCTACAGGAAGCAGAAAGATTGGAGGTCAGTTGAAAATATCTTAATTCAATATCTGATGTAAATCCATCTTTTTTAACAACCCTCCCACCCTGCCTTCTCTTTACTCCCCACTCTTTTATTAAACAATTACAATCTTCCTCTGTTCATTAAGAATCATTTTCTCTTTTGCATTTTACTCATGCATATACATGTATTTACCTACCTGTTTCAGGCTCAAGGAAAATGCACAGAGGCAGCAGAGCTTTACCGCAAAGCCTTCAAGTTATCACCCGATATAGAAGACTCCTTTAAGCCATAGTCACTTACAATGTACTTCATGACAACTTAATAGATGAGAATTAACTTACTACTTAGCTAGTCATTACTACTAAGCTAGTCATTAGGGCCATCAGGCAGATAAAATTTGTATTTACCATTTTTACCCTTAATAAATAACTCTCGTATGCCCCCCCCCCCCCACCAGGTGAGAGTCACACCAAAGAGCGTTACAAAGTGGCACCTGATCTAAGACAGAAATATAAGATATATATATATGTATATAACTTGTGTATTACATATTGAAGTTTATCATTTATAATAAAAGTTTTTGCTTAGTTGGCAGAGTAAAGAAAAATAATATACTAGGTATCTTGATCCATGCACATTGAGTTTCTTTTATTTTTTTAACCAAGGATATCAATGGGGTCTGGATGCCCAAAGTGAATTGTTCTTTTTTAAAAATTCCTGGTGACATTGTGCAAATATTTTTATTGAAAATGTAATAATAAAGATAAAGAATAAGTGCTTTATTGGCAGGACTACTACATTCTGGTGTGATGAATAAGAATTCATCTGATGATACAAGCACAACATTATGAAAAAGTTATACATGTAGTGATGATTTACAGAAAGTAAATGTAAAAATTACTTGCATAAAATGCTTAAATTAAAATAGTTTGGTAAACTTCATATAATTAACAATACTCATTCAAGTAACACTGTATAATATTAGAATTTAAGTTAAAATTCTTTGTACAATTAACAAAAATAATGGTTTATGTCAACCAATAATTTAGTTTTTACAACAACGTTTAATCTTGATAACAAATAAATAAAATGCTGTGTATTTTCTCATTTTCTTTATTAATGTGGTGAACAATGTTAATTCCTAATTAACAGATATATCAAGATCATGCCACTGGTAATTAACAAACGTGTGCAATTGTCACCTTCCTCACCATGTAGTGACAGGGTAATCAACAGCACATACATGTAAAACAGTAAAGCACTCCAATAGCATCTGTCCTTTTTATAAAAAAAAAACCTTTCTGCAAAATTTGTTATTTTCTTCTTGGGTATTAAAACTTAATTTAAAAGAAAAACCTTCAATCCACTTTTAAATTAGCATTTAGGTAAGTATTACACATTGATTAAAACAAAGATGCTTTTAAAATTCTTCAATGTGCACATAGAGATAAACTGTACATTTAGGTACATATAGTATACTGGTACAAAAACTGTACCCATACAATAACATTAAGGTGCTCTGACCTGCCACCTGGTGCAGTGTATATTAACTAGTACTATAGCCACTAGTTTGTCATCACATCCCAACTACTGGTATTAACTATTAAAGCAAAATGTTGCAGGTAACAGTAAGCCTTAAAATACCTGAAGCATACTGTATGTTTATTGCCTAAACAAAAAAGCTGCATTGAAGAAACCCTCTTAAAAACTAAAATGAAAACATAATAATTAAGGCCAGTAATATCATTACCAAATTTATGGTCTCTTAAAAACTGGCATATCCAGCACCATCAAAAGCATTATTCCTATACATATGTAAAAAGTTGCATACAGAATTCTGTATTTATGTCTTCATTTATAATAATAATAACATAACAAGCCCTGGCCAAAACTAACTTTCTAACAGTGTAAATTTCAAGTTCTAATATTTTAAAACTTGAGACAGCAAAGAAATGGTGACAAACAAAAACATGAGAACTTTCAAACTTTGAAGGTTGTTCCTTCTGTTGTTTTGCACCATATTGCATCAGTTAACATATATCACCAATGATCAACCCAAGCACATATCTACTCCTTCAACCTCTGCACCTAAATCCATTTGGTTCATATGGTCAGCCATATTGGACAATGGTCATCTGAGCCATACTGGACAATGGTCATGTGAAAGGTCTACACCCGGGGGTTACTTCTATCATTGGTGACCGTTTTCCTCAGCGTCATTCCTTTCCTGATGTCACCCAGTAGTGCTCCCCTCCCTCCTGAAGATGGTGCTGTGGTTTGTGTAGGTGCTGGAGGTGGTGGTGGTGGTGGAGCTACCCCTGGTGGCGGTGGTGGAATGCCCCCTGGTGGTGGAGGAGGAGGAGGTTGATGAACTGTTGCAGATGATGAGACAGTAGTTGGTGTGGGAGACTGTATTGATCTCGTTCTGGATTTTGAAGATTTTGATTCTTTCCTCATTTCCCTGAAAAGAAATGAAGGACTGGTCATAATTTTGTGCAGCTTAAGTATGTATTTCATATCCTTGGCATATACCATAAGCAGTCAAGCAGTTTTCAGTGTTCTAACATATTACAAATCATCTTCAAAATTAAGAAATTAAAACATCTCCATGTAAAATATTTGAACATCCATTTGTTAAAACGTGTATTTTACCCATACCCATTTTAGTAATGTACCTATTTGTGAACTAGAGAACTTTTTCTCACCTACATAAAAAGAAAAGCAATTAAATTTTAGACTTCTTAACTAATTGAGAAACCACAAAAAATATTTGCATATTTAGTTAGTCTTTGAATAAATTCATCTCACCACTCATACAGACAAAACTTGAGTTTTTAAAATTAAAGAACATGCTGTTAGTGTCTATACAAAATCTAATAGAAGAAGAATAATTTGAAACCTGTACATGTATATGTTATAGTGGGATATAAAATGAACTCAAGTAAAATTATGTGTTTTAGAGTAAAAAATTATTATTTTTATAAAGGGCAAAGTTGATAATAAAAATCTAAATACTGTAATGCCAGTATTAGACAACAGTTGGTTAATTTGATCAGTAAGTACCATGTACCTCCCCAGTACAAGGTGACCATTCCATGTACTGAGGTGAAGCCAATAAGTTGTAAACTATGTGACAAGAGGGCACTCTGTTGTGTTCAGTGTATTAGTTGAATACTAAAACATTACAAGCAGGTAAGTATACATAGGTTAGATCATAGAGAAGACAGTCTGACTACTCCAATAGTGCCAAACTTTGGGCCATATGCTTTTTTTTTTTTTTTTTTTTTTGTCCTTGATCATACAATGTCAATATAATGTCATCAAACACTATGAATTCTGAGAAAATGGCTTTCAAATTAAATTGTACCAAATTAAAGCCATAATTGTTTTTTTTTTAATTGCTGACATTGACATATTTCTTTCCATCCTAATTCCTTCATTGACTTTGCATAATTAATACCACATAATTATGGCATGCTTTTTATATGGTTTCATAAAACTAAAAAATGAATTTGTCAGATTTCATAGAAAAATAATACCAATGTCAAAAAAGTTTTCTGTGTACTTTCACATAAAGTGTTCACTATAATTACAAAAAATATTCAGTTTACAATTGGATGAAAGAAGTACAGCCCATACTGTTATAGCTCAAGGTTCACAGCTCTATCTCTGAAACTGCAATGATAAACTTCATTGTAACTTACATTCTCACAGAACAAAATGCCCAAAGTATGACAATTTTTGGAAAAAGGAGGAGTAAAATCCAAGCAATTCAGCACAAAAGAGGTCAGTTTGCCTCCATTTTCCCACCCAGTAAGTTGAGTTATCATATCTCTGCTACATAGTGCTTGTAAATTGTTTCCTTTAAGCCCCCTTTACACTGGGCAGCGTCCTTTCTGTGTCCACGTAGTATGGCCCCGTTTGAGAATAAATAATAAGAATACTTTACATGCCGACAACTGGCCAATCATTGAGGATTCATTTAGCAACCAAAGCGATGCTTGTGCCTCCTTTCTACCACCACAGCGATGCCAGTTTCATGGTCGTACAAAGGACGCAGAAAGGACGCCGTCCAGTGTAAAGGGGGTTTTACCTACATGTTTGTCTTAAACAAAAGGAAGACTGAACAGAAAAGAAATAGGATTAATTTAAAAATGCTTTCAAAATAATAATTATTATTATAACAAATAACATACAATGAAAAATAAATTTCTACAAATATTATTGTGTATTTCTCAATCAGAACAGAGATCATCTATTCATTTTATGAACATAGTTGTCCACAGACTCTAAACACGATGCAAAAGAAATTAATTAAGACTTAAAAAGAAGAACCATCATACATTATTGTCTGTACAACAGGAAAATGACCTTATAATAAATAAGGCAAAGCAGTCTGTACATGCAGAGTGTCCAGCATCAGTCCATATTAGCAACACTTACGGTAATTACTAGATCTTTTCAAGAGGGAAAAATTATCTAACTTTCAGGTACAAATTATAATAGCCACAAAAATTATATTTCTGTATAATATATGTACTGGAAGTGCATTTACTACATAGAATACAGCTATAGAGAAGCTGGCATTTCAAATTTGATGCTACTGCTAAACAGGAATGTTGTAATTTTAAGTGACTTAAAAACACAGTTAACTGTAAAATTCACAATTTTCTCCCCACTTAAAAGATCGAGTAATTACTGCAAGCAAGTTTTACATTAGTGTCTATCACAATATAATATAATACATGTATATATATATATCTGGAATACTTACCCTGGTTTACTGTATGGTGGCTGCTCTGCTTCACTTGATGATTTCCTCTTCAATTTTCTGTNGGGCCAATTTTTTTTTTTTTTTTTTGTCCCTGATCATACAATGTCAACATAATGTCATCACAATAATGAATTTTGAGAAAATGGCTTTCAAAACTGTACCAAATTAAAGCCAAAATTAAAGCCATAATTGTTTTTTTTATCGTTGACATCGACATATTTCTTTCCATCCTAATTCCTACGTTGACTTTGCATAATTAGTACCACATAATTACAGCATGCTTTTTATATCATTTCATAAAACTAAATAAAATGAATTTGTCAGATTGACAGAAAAATAATGCCAATGTCAAAATTGTTGTCTGTGTACTTTCATGTAAAATGTTCACTATAATTACAAAACAAAATCTTGAGTTCACTTGTAGGCTGCAAAAAATGCAGCCAAAACTGTTATAACTCAAGGTTCACAGCTTGCCCCCTGAAACTGCAATGATTAACTTTGTTGAATCTAGCATTCTCACAGAAAAAAAAAGGCCCAAAGTGTGACAATTTTTGGAAAAAGGGGGAGTAAAATCCAAGCAATTCAGCACAAAAGAGGTCAGTTTGCCACCATTTTCCCACCCAGTTAGTTGAGTTATCCTATCTCTGGTACATAGTACTTGTAAATTGTTTCCTTTACCTACATGTTTGTCTTAAACAAAAGGAAGACTGAACAGAAAAGAAATAGGATTAATTTAAAAATGCTCTCAAAAAATAATAATTATTATAGCAAATAATATACAATGAAAAATAAATTTCTACAAATATCATTGTGTATTTCTCAATCAGAACAGAGATCATCTATTCATTTTATGAACATAGTTGTCCACAGACTCTAAACACGATGCAAAAGAAATTAATTAAGACTTAAAAAGAAGAACCATCATACATTATTGTCTGTACAACAGGAAAATGACCTTATAATAAATAAGGCAAAGCAGTCTGTACATGCAGAGTGTCCAGCATCAGTCCATATTAGCAACACTTACGGTAATTACTAGATCTTTTCAAGGGGGAAAAATTATCTAACTTTCAGGTACAAATTATAATAGCCACAAAAATTATATTTCTGTATAATATATGTACTGGAAGTGCATTTACTACATAGAATACAGCTATAGAGAAGCTGGCATTTCAAATTTGATGCTACTGCTAAACAGGAATGTTGTAATTTTAAGTGACTTAAAAACACAGTTAACTGTAAAATTCACAATTTTCTCCCCACTTAAAAGATCGAGTAATTACTGCAAGCAAGTTTTACATTAGTGTCTATCACAATATAATATAATACATGTATATATATATATCTGGAATACTTACCCTGGTTTACTGTATGGTGGCTGCTCTGCTTCACTTGATGATTTCCTCTTCAATTTTCTGTCACATTTAAAAAGGTAAAGACAATGTGTGCATTAAAACCCTGAAACATTTTCCTTAAAATAATTACTATAACTATTTTAACAAAAAAATACAATGTTAAATAATAATACTTTAAATGATAATCAGATTATGTTTATACACTACAGGTTCATAGCCAGCAATTTCAAAGGGGGGTTTCTTTTTCTGAAAAAGTGGACCTTTTACCGAAAAATCCCCATGTACTTATGTCAAATTTTACCCAGAGTGGGCCTTTTTTCAGCAAAAAGGGGGGTTCTTTCGAACCCCCCGAACTCCCCCTGGCTACGGGCCTGCACTACAAACTAAAAGTTTAAAACTTCTGTAGTAAAAGATGATCAATAGAGGATTGCTTGAAAAGAGAAAAACTTAAAAGAAAAACATAAAAAATTTTCATTTCAAAATTGGCCTCATTTCTTAGTAAAAAATTCACTCACTTTGATGATAATTTTCCCTTCTTTACACTCTTCAGTAACGCCTTCATGTTTGATGTGAAGTGAATCTAAACATAATTACAGTTTTTATTACATTTACTGCATCCATAAGTCATCCAGTTTTGTTACTCCTCCCCCAATTAAAAATACAGATGTGAATAAGTAAATAAATAAATAAATAAAAAATAAATATTATCTTAATTAATATATAAATGAATAAATTAAATATATTTAAAAAACAATAATGATTATTAGGCAACATGGTTCTGTGCAAGCCTTAACACTAAAAACAAACATATACAGATGTCAAAATATTAAAATTGTTAAACATTATGAACCAAAAAGTATTCAAATATTCTTAAAGTTTAATGATAATTTGGTATGAAGGGCTTAAATAAGAAGTAATTTAAAGCAATTCTCACTGGAACAGGGTTGTACAACTTCAGGGCAGGCAGGATAACTGGACTGAAAAAGCTCCATTGGTTTATCTACAATATACAGGGAAAATAATGTTAACTTGATCAAGTTATTTCTAAAACAAACATAAATATTTGAAAATTTTACATCTTGTAGCCATCTAAATTTAAAGTCCAGTCAAATGAGATAACTTGATTTTTATGCTCCTGAGGAAATTCATTTGCTAGTTAACAATATTTTGTATTTATGTTATGTTATAAATCTTAGAATGATGTAATTTTTTTTTATAAAGACCGAGGAATTAATCAGTTATAAAACATTGGACAAAAAATATTAATCTGACTGAGATATGATAAAATAAAAAAAAACTTGGTCTTCAGTATGGTTTATTACAAATCAGCATTCATTTATTTATTTCTAACCTCTTGTATGGATGGAATAGTTTCACTGTGGAATATATAGTTCAGCACCTAAAAAAGATAAAAATATTTAATCTGTTACAAATAATAATATTTTACCACTGAGGATTCTGTATGCATGCCAGCAATAATATGGCACCTCCTAACTGCCAGAGACTGTGCAATATGTTCTATCTGAACAATGTTCTTTAAGATGGGGAGAGCAACTGACTGAACTTTCTTCTGAAAGTTTCCAGCCAAAAGCATTTAAAGTTTATTTTGTCTCATTTCATCCACTTGTCACAAATAAGTCTGGAAACTACTGTTTAACTTTTGAACCTGGGTCAGATAAATAGTGACCACCACTACCTTACCTCTGCCACATGAGGGGTTAGTTTGATCAGGTGTCTCGCTTCCGGAAAGGCAGTATCGAGTTCAAAACCCCGCGACATCTCATAGAATAAATGGCCTGTAGGATAAATTGTATTATTCAATAAAATGTTCAGCATCAGCCATACATACGTGATGTAAAATAACTAACCTACTTACTTTGATCAATACTTACACAATACCCAATAATACACTTTAATGTATACAACAAATGCTATCAATTACACATGTGTTACAGAGTAAATCTTGTATCTAAATCATCATTACAAAACTATTGCTGTCCTCAATAATTGTGTGAATAAATTATCAACTTTATTATCCTAGATAGCATCTCTAATGATGTGATTGTGTTAATTGTGACAGTTAATTGTGTTGGTTGTGACAGTTAATTGTGTTGGTTGTGACAGTTAATTGTGTTAGTTGTGACAGTTAATTGTGTTGGTTGTGACAGTTAATTGTGTTAGTTGTGACAGTCAATTGTGTTGTTTGTGACAGTTAATTGAGTTGTTTGTGACAGTATTGTGTTGGTTGTGACAGTCAATTGTGTTGCTGCTGCTAAATTTGGAAACAGGCTGATGTGGCATGTAGCAGAACTTGTTCTTACCAAAACAAAGTGAATCAATAGAATCCCTGCTATCCCTGAGCTTCTTCTTAAGAATTGGTTCTAATTTAGATTCAAGACCAAGGAAAGCGTTCTCATATCCAGCCAGTCTACATACAGAGTTTTGGATAAACACATTTCCTGAATGCACATGTCCGTGTGAAGGAAATCCCTTCTCTGATAAGAACAACAGAGCCTAAAAAAAACTTTTTTTTTTCAGAACTTTTTAAAAATAAGAAATACTTGGCACTGAGACAAAATGCTAGATTTTGAAATGTTTGTCAGGGTTTTAATCAATATTCACTGCCAAGTAAACTATGTGTCACTTAAAAATGTATAGCAGGGGTTAAAATTTAGTCAACTGACTGCATTCAGCAAGAGTCCTGAGGAATGGATCAATCTACCTAGACTGATAATTTCACTGGGAATGGGCCCTTAGTTTGAAATGTATATATTCCTGATACACCTACCTCTAAAATCTGCTTCCCAAATGTCTGTAATTGCTGTAATGGTAGACCACTACTTCTGAAGTTATATTTGGAGACATATGCTTCTGAACACCGTGTCTGCAAAAATAATTATACAAATTAATACCCATTACAGTAATAACCAGATCTTTTCAATGGGCTAAAATTATCAAAATTTTAGATACATAATTTTATTACCACAAAATTATAATTTCTATGTTGCATTTTTGATGCTTTTTATTGCATAGAATAGAGCTATAGAGCAGACTGCTTTTCAATTTTAAGAAATTATGACTTAAATACACAGCATATGTAAAATTCACAATTTTCTCCAATTGAAAAGTTGGAGTAACTGCATAATACTATGTACATACATGCTGTACTTTATGTATATAATATAAGTATGGAATAGGTGATATTATCCATATAAAGTATTCAGTCCACATAACTTAAAGGGATAATAACTCTTCGTTTCGGCCAAAAAATGAATTTTCCTGGAGTAAACAACAATTTCCCCATACTTACCAATGGTTAATGAATTCATTTTTACATTCAAAGTTAGTCCCTGTTTTTTTCTAAAAAGTTTGGTTTTTTGTTAAAATCTCTTCAGAGATTTTAACAGAGTATAGCCATCAATGAAGGTCACGTGGTCTAAAGACAAGCTCAGATATCAGAAAAATAGCTATAACTGCCGTTTTTGTGGTAAAACAGAATATATTATATTTCTATGAGTTATTCAAAGTGTCTTTATTGTGAAATATAGATCTCATACGAAGAGTTATTATCCCCTTAATCTCCAATTTTTCTGTGTTTATCCAAAATATCATATTTCATCATCTGATATTAATAACATCCAAATATAAAACTCTAATACCTTGTATATTAAATCTTTTAATGATCCCTTGTTGCTATAAGGATGTATAGCTACTATCAAGTCTTGTTCAAAAACAAAGTCTATATCATGAAGGGGAAATATGAAGGGATGCTGAAAGTAAAAATACAATATAACTGAGAACAGTAAAATAATTCCACACTTACCAATCTTTTTTACATTCTTTAAATTTTGTCAAAAACATTTCAATATTGAAAATTACATTTCTTTAGACATCTTTTAATTTAAATTAACAGTTGCACACAACAGTGTACTATTTGTGTGTCTGTCTGTCTGTCTGCCACCCATCCACCTGTTCTTTGTCTCTTCATAAGCTGTGTAAGCAACATAAGCTACCTGTATCTGAATTGCTGTCATCACCTCTGACAAAGTCTTTTTATTGGCTGCAGTAAAAAACATTGGCATTGCATGTGGTTTGGGAACCATACTTAGCACCTTCTCTGTGCGACTTTGGACATCTTTTATCAGAAACCAGTGCTTCCCAACTCTGCTTCCTGAAATATTAAAACAGCAGTGCTGGTGGGTTCCAAGTAATAAACACTTGAATTATGAATTTTCAAAGAGAAAAACAGTGTTCTATGAAGCTAGAAGAGGCAGACATATAGTCTAGTGGGTAGGTAAACTTCATCATAAAATTTGACAGATTAACCCAAGTTCACCATCTGGTCAGACCTGATGACTGTGCTAGATGTGACTCCTGTTATGTTTGATGTCACTTAGAGTAATGTGGGCTGTGATTCAATAATGTGTTAGGTGTGACTCAAGTTGTGTTAGACGTGACTTAATTGCGTAAGATGTAACTCCTGTAAAGTTATATATTTGACTCATGCCGTGTGATATGTAACTCAATGTTATATTAGGTGTGACTCAGGTTGTGCTGAATGTAAGATGTAAAACAATTGTGTTAGGTGAGACTTGGTTGTGTCAGGTGTGACTAGACTGTGTCAGGTGAGACTTGATTGTGTTAGGTGAGACTTGATTGTGTTAGGTGTGACAGCAGACTGACCTATGTCCTCCATCTGGTCCACCAGTACATACTGACCAAGTGACCGCAGGTAATACTGACAATTTAACAAGGCAGCCTCTGAAGTCAATAAACAAATGAATCTTTAATAAAACTGAAATATCAAAAAAGACATAAAAGACTGAATGTGTGTAATTGTGTACAATTGGTTTCACTCTACTGTCATTACAGGTCAAGGAAAGAAAACAAAATCTTATTCAATATCAGTCTTAAATTAAAACAGTAATTTTACCTTAGAGAATATGAACAACAACTTAACCCACATTTTTTCTGCAACAAATGTTTCAACAGAGATATATATTTCTATATGAAGGGCCCTCTACTTCAAATTCACTAAATTTCCCCCATAGGTCATATGAAGGTTGCATTTGACTTTGTCCTCAAGGACAGGCCCAGTTATAAGTCTGTCCACTACTAGACAGTTATTTGCATTTATTTATTTATTTATTTATTTATTTATTTATTAACTGCATAAAAATTGAGTGAGTGTTGTGTTTGAGATTAACATTGATGTAAAAACCTCTTATCAATAAAAACTGAAACAATGATAATTGGGAACTGGGTACTTCATGTGATAAATAAATAATTGAAGTTGACATTGAAAACTGATAAGATAAAAACATAAAAATGTGATCAGAATCCATTGTCTGCATATTCCCCGCCACTAATTTTACTCACCTCTGACTGCATTTTGGCGTTGTTTGCTTTCTAACTCCAGTTTTGCTGGAAGTGCGATGTCCTCGTGAAGTGCAGTGTAGTCATAGCGAGCATTATGTCTGAATAATAAGATATCATTGTTTTGTTGAGCACAACATTCTGGAGTTTTATAACACATATTATTATGTAATCAACTGATGGCACCAAATATAGCATAATTCTAAACAATTATGTAATTGTAAGTAAAGCACAACCAACTTAATTAAAAAATCGCACATGTACGAGCATACCAACACACACATGCACACACACACATACACAAACACATAAACACATAACATTACCTGCATTTACATATACAGTAGACAACGAGGATAATGATGACAACCAACACAATCCCCACCACTACCACCACCTGAAACAGTGACAGAATCTTCAGCAATATATTTATATATTTACAGGCCCATAGCCAGGGGGGGTTCGGGGGTTCGAAAGAACTACCCTTTTTGCTAAGAAAAGGTCCACTTTGGGTAAAATTTGAACTATGTACTTGAGGATTTTATGGTAAAAGGTCCACTTTTTCAGAAAATGAACCCCCCTTTTGAAATAGCTGGCTAGAGGCCTGATTTAGTACATATATTCTGCATTAAAAAGGATATATAAATAAGATTCTCCTGTAATGAAGTTGCATTGCATCAGTTGTTATTATAATTCTACATATAGATGTTATAAAAGATAGTCACAATGATGTGTGCTAATTAAAGTGAGTTACTGTAACACTGCGCAATCAGTTCTAATTGGTGGTTATTCTGGCAATGTGCATTACGTACCTGACCCTGTTTGGTGAATTAATATGGAATTGAGATGAAGAAGCATATACGGCGACTCCATAAAAAAATCTGAGCACTCTGAGCTCTTAGTTCCAAAATAGAATGTATTGTTGCAGTCAAATATGTATCTAATAAGTCACTGGACCACAACAGTGTAACACTGCATCAAAAATGAATAAAAGCTTTGTAAAGATGTCTATAATATCACCATAGAAGGAGCATCTGTAATCAGTGAAGCTCTATTTATTTCACTTTTTGTCATTTTTTATTTTCTGTTGGCCAGAAAATACTGGAGCACAATTTAATTGGCTTTTAAAGTACATAAAATCAAAATCGTTTATATAATTGATTTTCTTTAACCTTTTTTTATGTTGTAGTTTTGTTTTGCACATATTTGGATTTAAACTTTAAATAATAATAATGATTATAATAATAATAATAAATAATATTATTATTATTATTATTATTATTATTATTATTATTATTATTATTGGAGAAAATTCTACTTTATGTTCAGCAGAGAGAAGTATATATGAATTGTTATGATACAATCTCTTTTCTTTCAGGGACAAAAAATAAATGGTCCAAATTATGGGTATATATCCTGACTCATAAACTACATGCATGGTGTACATATATATTAGTGTTCACGTGATCACTTCACACTGTCTAAACCTTTGTTTTTTGTATGTATTTCATAGTTCTATAAAGAAGTGCCTTGTTTTAATCTCTTAAATATATATGACTGATACTTCAATCAAACATCTTGAATCTAAAAAAAGTACAGCTGTATAGTACACTCAGGCTTTTTTTAATTTCTGTGATGGTTGGCCTAGAGTCCTGCACCTTATGTAAGTGTTCCAGATAAGTCCATGAGTCCCTTGATAATTCTCACCTCAGTCTCTTGATAAAGCTGACCTTAAACTTTTAACATGAATGACCTTATTCACAGGTCACTGCACCCCTACAAGGGGGAGAGGGAGGGGGGACACGTACCTGTATACTGCACACACCTATCAACTCCTGCTTAAGTACTCTGAGTCACCAACACTATAGTGTTTATTATTAATATGGCCATGGTTGGCCTGAATTTTCACAACTTGCGTAAGCTGTGCAGTAAAATCAATGGGTTGTGTGTGAGTTTAATGACCTCAATTATGGGTCATAGCAGGGGCATGCTAGGCTGGTCTCAACAGGGCTCTATTAGTATACAGGTTTATTCCGCTGGGGAAATTTATCATTGATGGAGTTCACTTAAATTTCCACATATTGTATTTTATAGTGTGCAGTGTGAGTGATGTGGTCTAAAACAAATAAATTCATGCTTTCACACATATATCACACCTGGGGGGGGGGGGGGAGGGGGCATTCAGCAATGTTAACTGCTGGTCAGTAGCTGCACACTACTTCTACTCTGGGGGATTATAACAACTGTTCATTTTGGCTTAAAAATGGATTTTCCTGGGGTTAATGACTTTTCCCATACTCACCAATGGTTAATAAATCCGTTCCAACATTCAAAGTAATTATACTCCCTATTTTTTGCTAAAATTTTGGGCTTTTGGTAATAACCTCTGAAATTATTACTGAGATAGCTACCTATGGAGGTCAAATTGTCTGAAGGCAAGCACAGCTTCCAGAATAATTGAGACAACTGTCGTTTTGCCGTTAAATACCTCTATGAGTTTCTACAGTGTACTTATTGTGAAATATGGATCTCATAAGGAGCTTTTTATCCCTTTAAATCATAGCTGGTGAAAGGTTAAAATTAATTTTTGGCATGGGGGGGGGGGGGGGGATACGTTAACCTATTTGAAACATTTTTTTCCAAATATTATTAACAGATATTTATAGTATCTATAATAAGTGCAAATATATTGTGATAATAGTAACTATTCTCTGTATATAATTAATGCTGAATATATTTAAGTTATCACAACATATATGTTACTGGTATACCGTTTTTGATATCAGAATATTAAATAATAAAGATGATGCAAAACTTCCATAGTTACAGCATTATTTTTAATACTGTACCTGAGGTTGCAATTGTTAATATAACATTACTTGCAGGTTGAATCTAGTGTCAAACCAGAGCTCACGATCAACTGCCATCACTTACCCAAACGTTACTTTTAATGAAATTCTCAAACTCTCCCATGTTGCCGTACGTGCATTTGACGTAGACAGCGTTGACGTTACTTCTATGGATCAAACGCTTAGTGTCATAAAAAGGCCCGTTTCTCCCAGTCGAGCGTGATCTCTCCTTTCTGTCAAGCAGACTAAATTTTCGTCCACGATCTACATATTGTCCGGGTGAGCGGCTTTGACCCGTCAAGTTTCCATGTACGAAGTGAAAAGTGAACTTTTACCCCGCGATCAGCTGAACTGACATCACATCTTCAGTCACAACATTTGGAGCACATGATCAGTCACGTGACTCAACCAAGTTTCGTGAAACAAACTTTTGTGCAAAAAATGGTAATTTTTAGGTCTAAATGTTTTTGCAAAATATGCATAAAATTATATGTCAACAATGGCGTTTATATTATGTTTTATATATTGATTTTCGCCTGTAAATGTAGAAACAAAGTTAGTCTTCCTTTTAGATTGAATCCAATATGTCTGCGCCCTGTAAAAATTTTTCTTATGCAACTTGCAGTGTGCAGCTTGTGTAAACGACGCTGATATTGATTGGCTGGTGTAGATATTTTTTGATCTTCCGTGGTGATTTTCAGAAGCGATATGTATCGCTACCGGCAATTTCTGAGAATTGATTTGGCAGTATCTGCCGTTAAACCCTCTGTGAAATCAAAATCAGTCTTGACAGCATCTTTACCAAAAGACAGTGTTGTTGACAATTTGAAACCCTTACCAAGCTGTGTATATAGCAGACGCAGCGTTTCTTCAGATGGAGGATTTCAGTCACAAACAAAATACAAGGTATGAAAAATGACCAATATTACTTTGTCTGTAACTGTTAACGAACAATTAACAAGAAATGTAAATATATGAAGACGCTTAACATGGAGTTTGGCACTTATGCAGGAAAAGTACATGTATGTTCATGTCTGGTAGATGAGAAAAATGAATTCCTGAGCAACAGGAAACACAAAGCAAAAGCAAATGCTGTTGAGCATGTTTATACACATTAACTCATTTTCTACCTCCTTAATTTTAAAGTATACCATCTCTCTTTCTCTCTCTCTCTCTCTCTCTCTCTCTCTCTCTCTCGGTGGGTTGGTAAACTGGTTTTCATTTTACAGCTTTGGAGGCCTTTGCTTTCATGTGTTATTACAGCTAGCAAATATACATATCGGAGCCTGAATTTGGTACTACCTTCGTAATATTTTCACTTATACAGTACATTGCTTTATATGTTTTATTTTGTGTCAGGTGTTATATGATGGTGAGTGCCCTCTCTGCATGAAGGAAATACGTTTTCTCCAGTATATGGATAAGCGAAGACAAAATCAGCTGGACATGATAGATATATCATCCGCTGATTACAGACCAGACGACAATGGCGGGATCTCATATGAGACTGCGATGCAGGAAATGCACGTCATTGGGCCAGATAACAAGGTTAGAATTATTATTATTGGAAGATGGAGTGAGCAACTTCATGTATACTTTGTGCAGTACATATATAAACATATACAAATGTTCAAATGCGCACAATTGTACATTTAATCACTCTTCACATTGAGGGGTGCAGTTTTCTGTGCAGCTCCAGTTTGACTAATCCTGTCGTGTAATTTTGTTATGGGGTTTTTTACTCCCTTTCACATTTACATGTACACACCTACTCAAAGTTTTTAAACATAAGGACTTGGTTTGATTTTGTAAAGGATCAAATGTGCTAGTTGAGATGGCTTTATTGCATTGTGCTAGGCTCAACAGTATCACACCTGACACAATACTGTTCACTATGTCAGTTCATTAAGGGAATTGTGATTGTGTTTTTGGATAAAGTACAACTTACTTCCAGAACAGATATCAACCACAAATTGCTTCTGAATAAAGAACCCTTAGGTATTTTAAATACATCTAGAATTCAATTTTTACTTTAGATATTTGCAGAGAAAAATAATAAGTGCATAACGTTGACTCTAGTTTAGTAAGTACTTATTAACCAAGCCCGATTCTATCTTTTTAAGACACCATCACAATTCTAAATAAAATTCTATCAGTGATATGTGGTTGTTGTCAGGTGTATACCAGGGTGCCAGCCTTTCAGCAAATGTATGGTGCTGTGGGACTGGGCTGGGTCACCTCCTTTACTAAACTCCCAGGAATGCCGCGCCTCATGGACATCTTCTATGGATGGTTTGCCAAGAACAGGCTGCAATGGACAGGAAGGCAGGACTGCGCCACTGGGCAATGTAAGGTTGAGAGGAGGGATAAGAAATGAAAAAGGTATAGACTGTCTGGAAGATGTTTATGCGTGCATGTGCACCTGTGTGTGTGTGTGTGTGTGTGTGTGTGTGTGTGTGTGCGTGCGTGCGTGCGTGTGTGTGTGGTAACTGTAGGTGTGAACCACCCCTGCCCCTGGGACAGCAACAAAATGTTGCTGTGGATGGCATGAAAATCTCTAAAAAAAATTGTTACTGATAATAAAGCAAAGCGTGTGTTTGTAACTGTCAATTTTGTGTAAGTGATGTAAAAAAAATTGGTTTTGAGTAGTAGTTTAATGTATTATTTTTGCCTTTGCTTGTTTATCATTATTGGGCATTATTGAGCAAATAATGGAAAACCGAAGAAATTGTTCTACGTGATATCCTCTGCTTCAGATTGGATAAGCTACTCTATTTGCATGCTCTTATAAATATTTGATTTTGGAATTGAAAGCACTGCTTATATCACAGCCATCAAAGAGAAGAGAATGAAAAATAATGTAAGCAATAGATTTGTTGTTATTGTGGTTTAGCAGTCCCGTTGGTGCGGTGTCAGTGACCTTGTAGCATTAGTACGTCATTCAGGGGGTTCCTTTTTTGTTACATAATTGCAAAGTGAACCATAAGGTACTGTGAAATATGAAAAGAGCTGCTTTGTTTTTTATTGACAAATCATAGAGATTTTTACAGCGCATTGATTAGTAGGAATAAAGATATCTCCATAATTGATGAGTGGAGTGAGAGTCTAAAAACAATGGTGCTTTTGAGATAATGGTATCTGTATTGTTGTCAGACTAGGACAGCTGAATATGCTGTTAAACGAAAGGTTTCTTGTATTTCACATTTATAAAAAAACTGTTAAATCAGAAAAAATAAATAGACAAGTGCTATTAAAAGTAGAAAGAGCTGCTTTGTGTTTTTATTGACAAACCGTTGAGATTTTTTTACAGTGCATTGATTGGTAAGAATAATGGACTCTTCGTAATTGCTGAGTGGAGTGAGAGTCTAAAACACATTCACACTAGCTCTGTTCTGATACTTGTCATTAATGGTGCTTTTTAGGCAATGGTGCATGTATTGAATGCCATATTAAAAGGATAACACTTATTCATTTTGGAAAAAAATGGAATTTCCAGGGGTACTCTTAATAATTTTCCCACATTTACCGATGATTAAAGTTACCTGTCTTACATAATATACCTAAATGAAGCAAAATAAAATTAGAACCAGAAGAAATATTGCTATAGTTAAACCAGTATAAGTGTGTTATGAAGTATTGAGTGAGAAACGTCCGTGGAGGCGAGTATTCCACCCCAGACACCAGCTGACCTGCGCTAGAATTATGGTCAATTGATACAGATTTTAATGAGGCGTAAGATTATATTTTGTAGAGGTGTGGGTTTGGTTGGGCTAGGTTATTGAATAGCAGCATATTTCCAATACTAATTCATTGTTTTACTGTTAATCAATGAGGATTTATTTGTCTTGATGCCAGATATTGCAGAAGTTGGATCAATATTGAGGTGTGAACACAAACACCTTCAGTGAAATATATACACTGTATCATGCTGCTTTAGCTTGCAGGAAGATATCTTGGTGATTGTGACTGCTTTGGTTGTTTGTTCTATCCATTTCAAATCTGTTGTATTTGCATTACAAAATAGAAGAAGAAATCTGTATTTATGTCATATTAAAAATATTAATCTCTTTTATGTGTTATGTAGCAAAAATATTATCATCAAAAGAAATGTGAATATATTAAAAGCTATGGTAAAGCATGAATATAAACTTACATCTTATTTCACTGTGTGGAATGAATGTGTAATTTGTTTGTGCACAACCACATCAAATTTTCATTGATAAAATTGGAATGTATTTTTCCTTCATGATAACTGCCAAAAAAAAGTAAGCTTAGGTATTCAATGTCAGAGAGTGGGTGGGTCGATCTTTAATAATTTATTTGTAGGTTTTAATGCTGCAAGCATAATTTGACAATATTTGTGTTGGAGATTTTGAGGTTATCAGACATTTCTGATTTAACCCATTTTAAAAAAGGTGGAATAGATTTTTAAAAACTATGTTACTGATGTTTCCTCTACCTGTTAAGTGCAGACTTGCGTGTACATGTGTGCTTGTTCCTGCTTGTGGGTATGTGTTGGTATTGATGTACGTGCTTGCATGCATCTACACGCGCTTATGTATTATATAGAGATAGAAATGGACAGAGCAAGAGATGGACAGAGAGAGAGAGCAAGAGAGGAAGAGGAAAAGAATGAGAGAGAGAGAGAGAGCAAGAGAGGAAGAGAGAAAGAACAAGAGAGAGAGAGAGAGAGCTAGAGAGGGAGAGAGGGAGAGAGAAAAAACGAGAGAGGGAGGAAGAAAGAAAAAGCCAGAGAGAGGGTGGGGGGATACTATAGGGAAAGGGAGGTGTTTATTTTTTGTCAGTTATTATGAGAAGAGTTGAAAGTACCCCTGCTACGTCCATCACTAAGACAATCTCCTCACAGTTTACCTGGGTGGTCCACCTCTGACGTGACCACCCATCAAAGAACCTGTTGCGTAATAACTCCAGAAAATTAATGATGTTTCATTTTTTCTGCAACATTATTTGCTGCAGTCATGACAGTGGCTTGGTTTGAAGGCATCCTGTGTGGGATTTTCCTGCCAAATCAAATACTAGTACTAATGTAGCTTTGCAGGATATGTACAAATAAAATGTATGATTTTGGGACATTTTTCAAACAAGGATATTGAACAAAGTACAGAATATTAGTAGCACAGGGTCAGATTGTGATAAGAGCAGTCTGCTGAGGCCCCACATCTCTCAAAACTATATGGTGACATGCACGTTCAGTGTTCAAAGTCTAGTTTTTTAAACAGCATCTTGATTAGCTATGACATAAAACTGAGAGTGGTGTGGAAGAGTCTGTCTGTTTTAGACTACTGTAATGACTCCCATCTTTTTGATTGGGATTTATAGATCTTTCAGGTGCAAATACAGAGTACAAAATTTTGAAATCATTAAAATTCTGTTCTGTATAATGTTTGTGACAGTATGGGGCACATTTTTATTTGTTGCTACAAATCAATAGGAATTGTATAATTTTTATGAATTTATATCATTAAAAAATCCAGTATCTGTAGAATTCACAATTTTTCCCGTTGAAAAGATCAAGTGACTAGGTATGATTTTGGCAGGTCTTTCCCACAGTTTTCCTCAGTTCCAATAAAACCTTCAACACAAATGTAGAATGTTATGTGTTCTACTCTCTACAAAAGGAAGACATGGGCGTTCTAAAACATCCCCTGTGTTATTGTAAGAAACGAGGACCTGTTTCAACACACATCATAAGTCGAAAATTGTTGTTAGCATAAATGTGCAAATAATTTTAGTCTGCAAAGTTGCATATCATAAGGAATCTAATACATTACTTTTCTCATTGTTTCATTTTCTTTAAAAATTGCCCCTACACAATGTATGCTTGTCATCACAACTTTCTTGGTCAATTGATCCTAAATCTCTCATAGATCAGCTTCATATAGTTTTCTTAAAGAAGTCAGCTATCAGTAAATTTTTATTTCTGTCCATCTCTCTCAGCTCTTTATGAAAGATTCCATAGATGTTGTCTGTATATATTTGTTGGTACATTTATGTGAATTAGAGGGTCGGAGTTCATAGGTCTTTGTCTCATTAGGAAATTGCTGATGGCGGAATCTTTTTCAGTAACTGTATGTGAATTCAGCTGTGGAATTGCAGAAGAAAATGTCTAGAATTATGAAATCTCATAAGACACCTGACCACAATCTAGGCCTCATTCAGAAGCAATCTCTATCATTATTAACACGTCTGTGCAGGAAAATGATTCATCTCAGCATACACATTTCTCGTTTCAATTAGGAGACAAACAATTACGAACTGGACAGTTTTATTGCCCGCTGTTTGCAGCAGATATTTACTTAAACTGTGAGTAATTTCTGGATGTGGAAATCATTATCTTTTTCATGCTGCTTGTTTTAGTGTGCTGAGAAAAACTGTGGTCCTTGTACAGAATATACAGATTCCTGGCCCAAAGAACGATGTAGTGGCCATGTAACCATGATGATTTGATTTTTTTAAAGAAACTAATGAGCAGATATCTGTACAGATTCGGGGCCTCAAGGTTTTTCAATGCAGCCGTGTTACTTTAACATTGTTTGGAATCTGATCTTTAGATTGTTTTTACCTGTCAGGTTGATTATGCAGATTCCTGGCCTAAAGGTAGAGATGAGGGCCATGGGGAGAGGATAGTGTAAAAACATGGCCCAGGTGCTGATAGAAGGCCAAAATTTCCTTTCATGTGGTAGAAAACATGTGAGAGGAAAACTTCATGTGATTTCAATTGTTCTAAGCAGCATGGATTTATTTAGTGGTCTCAGTGAAATGGTAGTTGATAAGGTATTATATGGAATCAAAGGGAACACAATTGGAACATGATGGCATCTATATTTAGACTATTGAACATGAACAAACAATGTTTTTCTTGTACAAGAGATATTGCTTTAGAAAATTGTCGTTTGTTTTCCATTCATTTTTCTTCCTGCTGTTGGTTGTATAATTTGATATGATTTGTACATGAAAAAAAAAAGATTAATATTGTACAGAAAGTATTATCTCTTAAAATAAATACTTTATTGTGTCTCTTGTGTGATTCATGCACAGTGTTTGATAAGCGATATTCTGCTTTTGCTTCAAAAGTTGATCGCGTGTTTGATATTCCTTGTACTGACAAAAGATGTAGTTTTTCCAGTTAAACCTCAGCTGCTGATTTGTCCATTAGCCATTTATCAGGAGGCAAATAATTCTGGATGCAAATAAGTCTATGTCATTAATAAATAATTGTTGTATTTCTTTGTAGGAAATGTTGTTGTTTTGTTGTTCTCATTCAGAGTTTTTTTTTTCATGGAAAATTCTCTTTGATATATGTCAGTGTTTAAAAGAGAAAGGTTATCATTGTGCAGTGTTTTGTTCAGGAAGCTGCAGGA